TCTGCTCAGGGCTGTCAGCTGTGACTTCCCCAAACCTGGGCCCCACACAGCCCCACCCCCGCCCACACCAATGGCCATCCTCAGGCAGAGGGCCCTGCCCAGGGCCCAGGGAGGGATCAAATAGCTGGGGTCTCATTTGCATGAGTGGGCCCTCCCTCCCGCAGACTATGAAGAGGGGAAGGGAGAGGTGTGGGGAGCTCTGCTTCAGCTGTGGGGCCTCAGGAGGCAGGACTCAGGGATGACCTCCACCATGGCCTGGGCCCCTCTCCTCCTCACCCTCCTGGCTCACTGCACAGGTGACTGGATAAGGGGACGGGGAAGGGGCCTTGGGCAGACACATGGGCCCTGCTTCCTCCTCTTGTCTCTAGACCCAGACTCAGCACCTCTGTGTCTCCCCCTCTTGCAGGATCCTGGGCCCAGTCTGTGCTGACTCAGCCATCCTCAGTGTCGGGGTCCCTGGGCCAGAGGGTCACCATCTCCTGCTCTGGAAGCAGCTCCAACATTGGGGGTAATGGTGTAGGGTGGTACCAACAGCTCCCAGGAAAGGCCCCCAAACTCCTCATCTATGATAATAGCAACCGACCCTCAGAGGTTCCAGACCGATTCTCTGGCTCCAGGACTGGCAGCTCAGGCTCCCTGACCATCACGGGGCTGCAGGCTGAGGACGAGGCCGACTATTACTGCTCAGCATGGGACAGCGGTCTCAGTGGTGCCACAGTGCTCCAGGCCTGTGGGGAAGTGAGACAAAAACCCCTCTGGTCTGTGAGCTGGTGAGCTCTCCCGCAGCTGCTGTTCAACTATGAAGTCAGAGGCCATGGTTTGATTTCTCATCCGTGGACATGCCTGGGTTGTGGGCTCAATCCCCAGGTTGGGGTGGGCAGGAGGCAGCCCATCCATGATTCTCTCTCACCATTGATGTTTCTCTCTCTCTCTCCCTCTCCCTTCCTCTCTGACATCAATAAAATATATTAAAGAAGGTGATGTGATTCACAGTGTGATTCTAATGATCAATTCAGGGAGAGGGAAAACTCTAGATTGAGTGTGAACAGATTTTACTAGAAGAAGAATCTGTCGATGTGAACCCAAAGCCTTCGCTCAGGGGCAATGGGATTGTGAACAGGACACTGTAATGACAGCTCAGTGACACCCGGCTCTGTCCGTCCGTGGAACCTCACAGTGACAGAGCCTGAATGTGTCACCAAAAGGTCACTGAGGACGCGGAGGGTCGCCCGGTGGATGCGGAGTGTGAGCAGGACCCTCCTGTTTGCAGTGAAGTGTGAGCACCTCATGGAGGGTGGGGAGCTGCTACCTCAGGCCTTGACCGAGGGGAGCCTGTGAGCCTCAGGCAAAGGGCGTGAGCTGTGTCACATGGGCGTCTCTGAGCCCCTGGGCAGCTCTGCACTCTTCATGCCCAGGGACTTTCTGTCCTTTAATAGGTGGAAGCTGTGTGCATGGTATTTTGTAGTTGAATTTCTGACTTTTTGTTGTTTGTTCTGATATTGTTTATTTATCTGTATACTTTTTATCTCCTTCCTCATCTTGAAGAGGCTGACTCTGAATTCTTGGTCAGAATATTCAGGCACCTCCATTTCCTGGGTCCCTGAGGGCCCTTTATTGGAGCTCGAGGCTGCTGTCCTAGGTGCTGATCCCTCAGGACCCGCAGCCCCGCGGGCATTTATGCATTTGAAGGAGCAGCTGCCTTGGCCCCCTTTATGCCCAGGAGCCGGGAGGTCACTTGGCTCTGACTCCCAAGGGCTGATGGGATCGCCTCTCCGATCGCGGTCAGCAGGGGCTGTTTGGCTCACGGGGCTGCAGCTGGGTTTTATTTCTGGGGGCTCCGTGGCTGGCAGGCCTGTCCCCGGGCCTCAGGGCGGTGTCCTCAGGGTCAGGCCGGCCCCAGGGTCAGGGTCGGCAGCGCCGGCTCTGGGAAGAGATGTGGCTCAGGGCCTCCGTGGAGTCTGCACACAGCTGGCCCGTGACCAGGTGGGGGGAGGGCTGGTTCCCGGGTCCCTCGGAAGGTCCCACAGGGACAGGATGGGCCCCTGAACCCGGGTCAGAGGGGCTGCCCTGAGGCTGAGGGGGGGGCGCTGCCGGGGAC